CACGCGCACGCGCACGCGCACGCGCACCCGCACCCGCACACGCACGCGCACGCGCACGCGCACGCGCACGCGCACGCGCACGCGCACACACACATACATAGCAGGCATTTGAGTTTGCACCTGGCAGACTTGAGGCAAGTGATCAAGTGGCTCTACCCTTGTGCCGATTTTCCGGCCGTGGCCGCCGCCTGCTCCTGGCTCCGGGCGCAATGTGCTCAGGAGCTGCTTGCGTAGACCACTTGTTTGTTGGGTTTGGCTGAGCTCATTCGCCACTCTACAGGACACACTGTGGAACGCAGTGCTGGAGCGACTCGACAGTCAAGCGCAGTGTGCCATGGGCATCCCACCTGACATCCGCACATAAGGTATTGGCCGGACATGGACAAGAGAATCAGCCGGATCGACTATGTAGGCACTCGGCACCAAGGCAGTGATCGCCAGGTCCTCAGGTCCTGGGTTCTGTATCCCCACCAAGCTGCCTCTCTTGGGTCCTTTGAGGTGTGCGGCATGTCTGCGGTGCGATAGGCGCCAATGACCGTCTCTACCGTGCCTTCGCTGAAGGCACGGACATGGGATGCCCCGCCTCCTCTGAAACTCAGGAGCAAGTTCAAGGATCAACAACAAATCAAACAAGCAACACCAAAAAAGGGAAGGAAGAAGGGGAGGCAGGAAGGAAAGGAGGAAGGATTGCCTCAAGCGTAAAGAACCAAAAGGCACCCGTGTGAGAGTCGAAGCCCTCAAGCCCGCAACGATCGAGTCCCAAACGCTCAAGTAGTCGCAAGATAGCCCACTCGCCCTGTGTTTGTGCGGACCCCTAAACATGGCGTTGGACGTTCGGAAGAGAAGTCAGGAGACTAGCAACTCGCCAAGTAATCGTAAGTCTGAAGGCAAGCCGATGCCCCAAGTGATTTTTTTCTACCAGCGCAGCTCCTTGCCCCTTGTTTCCGTAAGCCGATCGCCTCGGATCAGTCTGCTTGGAAATGGGTTGGCCCCCCTGATTCCTTGGATTGTTCGGTTTGCAAATGGGGCTTGAATTCTTTGAAAGGGCGGGTGCCTAAGGACCTCTGGCGGAGATGCAGCATATTCCCCAAAAAGAAATCTCGGGCTCTCATGAACCGTAGAGGGTACCTATAGGTTTTTGTTCCATTGCCATGGATTCTCATGACTTTGATTTGATTTTGGTGTGTTTTTTTATGCGGACTTGTGCGTTTGTTTGTTCCTTCACGAGCCCCTCCGCCCCTCGGCCCCTCGGCAGTTGGCAGGCTGCGTTGTCACGGAGGCGGTGCGAGACCTGGTGGATGAAAAAGCTGGCACTGACCCTTTCCTGCAATTGCTTACACCGCTACACATGTGACAGGTGTGAACAGGATGGGCCTGTTGGCAAACTGGTTCAGAGGTCATCCACCCCGGAGGGCAATGTCTTTCTGGCCACCTTCAGTTCAAGACTTGGACGCGGATTCTAGGCACGATTGTTTGTCAATGCAGCCTGAGTCTGAGGGGTTTCGGCATTGGCTCTTGAAAGGTCGCGTGAGCCCTTGTAGCAAGCACCAAGCTTTCTGGAGGCCGGCCGGAGCAGCCCGTCAGCCTCGAGTGCCGCCGAAGCCAGTCACAAGAACAAATGCACCTTTCAAGGCTGTTCGTTCTTCTGTGTGATGTGAGCGGCCTTTGCCACCAAGACCTCGGTTCACCAAGGACAGGTCTGGCGGATAGATGATGTGATGGCCTGTGTGGTCGCTAGAATCAAATGGCAGACGGCTGAGTCTTTGGAAGAAGTATCGCTTCGAACCGAGGTTTGTGCGGAAGATTTTTCCTCGAATGTCATGGAGGCAACCAATATTTTTACGAAGATGCCCTGTGGATCATGGCGTGCTTTGGCGGCACCGCAGACACGAGGGGCCAATCCTTCCAAGAAGCCTGAGCCCGCCTTCGAGCACTGAGGAATGGTCCACCACCATGGTAGCCCATCACATTGACACCGCCGTCCTGCAGAAGCCCTGACAGGGCAACCACAATCCCGGCAGTCGGGTTCCAATGGTTTCCATCCTAGAAGGCCCCCATTCCTCGTATTCCTCGGCCCGCCCGGGGAATGAAAAAGAGAGCGTATGCTTGCGCAGAGCGCTGCTCAATTCGTGGAAGGGTTCGCATCTCCAAGATCGATGTTGACTCACTGTGCTCAGGTTCCAGGCTTCCTGACAGATGAGGAGGCAGCTGGGCCTGTGCAGAACCGCCCGTCTTGTACGAATGCACGAGAATTCGCCCAATCAGAGTTGCCGGGATGGCTTCTAGATCGTGCCTGTGATGATAAGGCAGAGTATCTCACCACCTTGGTGCCAGAGGATCTTGGCTTGGAGCCTGTGCAGTCAGTCGTCTCTTGCTTTGAATGGCTCTTTCTTCTACGTCCTGGGGGCCGTTAGGTGCCAGTGCAGCTGGAAGCTTTGAAGGTGCTTATGCAGGGAACCTGGATGAGCCTTGCATTGCGCTCGGCAGCCACGCAAAGTGTTGCCGAGTCTTTCCTTCGAGGTCCTCCTGCACACGCTGACGGAACCTGTCGCCCCAGCTGTTCGTGAAATTGAGGCAAGGTGCCTCGGGGCGCCCGGGTTCAGATTGTTTCGCTGCAGTACTTGAAAGGTTTGGTCCAGCAGGGCATCTTTTGGCCTGTGCAGGAGCGACTCGTAAAGTGGAATGAGTTCGCCCCGGAGAATCTTGGGTGCGCCGTAAGCAATGCGTTGGGCCCTTGGGCGTACGAAGCCATGATGGCCTGGCGAGGTACCTGAGACTGGTTCGTGCCAACACCCAGCTCGGAATGGGCAATCGAGGTTGCGGGCAGAGGCCTGCGATCAGAGATTGAGGGAAAGCAATTCTGCCGCTGAGCAAGCTACACATTCAAAGTGCCAAACAGGAGCGCGTAGTGTACACGTACATCTTCTTGGGCGGCTTGCTTTCCACCATCTTCTTAATCCAGTAGCTGAGCAAATGTGCTCGCATTTTATTGGGACCTTCCTGCGGAAGATTCCCACACACGCGCCAGACTGCATTGGCTATGTGGAAGCATTCGTGGCTGGGCCTTGGATCCAGGTCAGCCACCATCTGCCTGCTGGAGAAGGTGCCGGGATACATTCTGCAGGCAGCTAGTGACCCCTATGATGCAGCACGAGGCTGATGTGCAGTTTCCGCACATCGGAGTGCGAATTGCACGGCCCTCGATGCACATCGAAGCAAGAAACATTCCCAGCACCGCAATATGGACTTGGAGCGAGGCCATGAAGAGGGGAGACCTTTTAGAGTGGCCCCTTGGCTGGACTTCTCCCTGGACCTCGCTTCATGTTGCGTGATTGACTTCATGGAATTGGATCCCTTGAGCTTGTGTAGACAAGGGTCGGTATGGGTCGGTGGCAGTAGTGCAGAGCAGATCTCGCCACGCCGAGGCCAAACGCATGGTTTCAGGAGCCTTCAATCTCCAATCCAGAGCAGAAGGTGACAGCGGGAAGCTCAGTGATATGCGTCTCGTGCGGCGACTGCAGCTGCAGTTGTGATTCCAAGGTCGAGGACCTGCGTACGACACACGCGCCTGCCTCAAGTTGCCTAAAGTGCCAAACCTGCGAGAGCACAGGGTATGACGCAGTATGACGCAGTATGACGCAGTATGATGCAGTATGACCGACGCTATGTCATGCTACCGCTCTCACCTTCGGGCTAAGGTGAACGTGGCTCCCACACTGATGCTGGACGCCAGCTTCCACGACAAGCGGCATTCCCGGGATCTCCTTCTTGAGAGTTTCTCAAAAGAGACTTCTTTGAGAGCAACTTAAGAGCCTCTCGGCATTCGTTCTGCGCAACCCAGCGGTTTTTGTCGATTTGTGCGCTGCTCTGCTCTTTTTCTCCATGTAACCCAAGGCCCGTTCGCTCAGACGCAGACCGGCAGAAGGAGGAAGAATAGAAACAAGAGAGCCAGAGCAAGCTCCCATGTGCATGTGATTGTGACAAGGCACACACACAGGCATGTCGCAGCATGACATTTTCATTTCAGAAGGTCGTGGCCGTTTGGTCTTTGAACCAAGGCTGTAAGGACGTAGCCCTGCAGAGGCTTTGCAACGTCAAGCCGCTCCAAGCACAAATGTTGAGATGCCTGGTGCAGTTAGGAGCAACGACGCTTGTCAGTGTGCATGCACAGTTCTCGGTCAATGATAACGTCTACACGCACACGTGGCTGACAAAGGCAGTTTTGCCTTCAAAGCGCAGTGACCTCACTGCAACAACGGTCGGCAATGCCATCTACCTCATTGGGGGCTGCGCCAATGATCAGGAGTGGTCTGATGGAGCCGGCATGTACTTATGCTCTGGGATCAGCAAGGCGACAGAGAAGTACATGCCTGTGACGGACACTTACGAGACTTTGCCGGAAGCGCCACGAAGCCGATACCGCCATGCGGCTGCAGCCATTGGCGGTCGGATCTACTTGTTTGGCGGCTGTGCCATCGATGACAGCATCATCACAGAAGTGGATGTTCTCGACACCACGACTGGCACATGGTCAAATGCGGGCAGTTGGCCAAATGCAACTTCCGATCTGTCAGCATTTGCTCACGATGGGAAGATCTATGTGCTTGGAGGATACGATCGTCCGAACTATCTTGCTATGACCACGGTTATGGTTTTCGACCCCGCGCAAACCGGCAGTGCCGCGTGGTCCGAAGTACCTTCTCTGCTTCAGGGCCGCGGAGATGCAGCGGCAGCCGTTGCAGGTGATGTAGCCTTTGCCCTTGGTGGCTTCCACCATGGCAACTGGTCATACCCAATGGACCACCTGGAAGTTCTGTTCTTGAACAACGTCGATGGAGGCTGGAAGGAGCGGACCACAATGGACATTGCACGTGGGGACAAGGCGGTAGCTGTGCTCAATGGCATGCTGCATGTTGTTGGGGGTGAGTCCAAGAATCAGGCTGAGCAGTCAGTCGCCCTCATGGATGTGGAAGTGTACGACACGACCACAGATACATGGTTTGATGGAGGTAGCATCCCATCGAATCGATTCCGCTTCGTGGCAGCTGCCCATGCTGATTCGATCTACATCTTCGGCGGCCAGGGCTCCCTCCTGGGGACATATGGCATGAAGGACAGCAAATACCCGGTACTGGACACGGTTGAGCAGTACAAGGAAACAGTTGCCCCAGCCTCCGTAAGTCAGGCATCGCCTACCAGAGCCATGCTCGGGCTCGTGTCAGCTGCGGTGGCTCTTGCGTCCTGAACCCATTGGCTGCGACATCTGTGGAAACCTTACTCCACAGTATCCACAGTTGGCATCTCTGGCCAAATTTTCGTTTCCTGCACGTCGGTGGCACAACTGCCGGGCCTTGCCTAGCAGAGCGCAAACACGGTACATGCGATGCCGCGTGTGCTGGAGCACGTGCGGCGTTGCAAGCTTAAGCCCGTAGAGAAGACTCGGGGCCCATGTAGAGCATGCACTAGCCAGGCTCTTCGAGAAAATAGGTCAGCTAGGTATGTGTCGGTCATGCACATCTTAGTCGCTGCGGCAGTCTATATTGGCGTGCATAGAGAGTCTGGCTGGAGCCCGCGCATGGGTGATGCTCCTCTCGTCACCACTCTTGACTCCGGCAACGGTTGCTGGCTGCAAAAGTTCTGACCGCAATATCAGGACGACCTGTCCTCCGTGAACCACACGTGTGGGATGCTGTGGCAATGCTGAGGGCGTGCTAACAAGTTCAAGGTAAAGACACAAGATCTTTGCTTCTCCGAACAGTGCAGTCGCAACGGAATCTCAGTTTGGGTGTGCGCGATGGTGCATGTGCGGCCGTGTGGGTTGCGATTGGGTTCCTTTCCGTGCACGTGGTTGTGTGCCTGCCTGCCGCTACTCATTTTGCAGGTTCTTGTCATCGGGCTGTGCAGCGTCACGCAGTGTAGACAGTTCAACGCAGTTGGCACGTTTGTTGTTTAGGTGCGATGACGTGTTGTACGTGTAGGAATCTTACCCAGTTCGTTCTCCGGGCACAGCGAGTGAAAAGTCAGGCGTGAGCCGCTACAGCGGCAGCCACGGCTGTAACAGCCCTCGTCGGCTGACGTCCCTGAGAAGCATCGGGGGGCAGAGGGGGGGGGGGGCAGGGCGGTGCAACAATGTGCTTTGCGGAGTTGCTTGGCTCAAGTCAAAGTACCGATTGTGTGTTTTCTTTGTTGGCCATGGTTGTCACAGACCTTTCCATTTCGTGAGATGATGATATGGCAGGTTGTGCGCACCAACATATGATATTTGCTTGGTCCCATATGATATTTGCTTGGTCCCAACACCCAGGTGGGAACGTGCTTGCCAAGCTTGGTTGCGAGCAGATCTTGTGATTACTGTTTGTGCATAAGACATTTGCTGGTCATGGGCCGATTTTTTCAGCGTTTCTACAATGACGATGAGCCGGTGCGAGCCACAGCCTCCACTGTTGTCAGTGTGGTGGGGTGAGGCCCCGCTCGCAATAATGTCTGAGGTGTATTGCTGTGCAGCTTGCGGTGCCCACTTCGCACAGTACAAGGTTTCGCAACAGCTTGTAGCATATGCAAACATTTGCAAGCTCTGGAGGTTTTTCCTGCGTGTTGTTAGGACCTGTTGTCGACCAACTTCAGGGGCAGGCGCATCCGACATAAGACATAGATGCGCTATTCGTCACTTATGTGCGTGCGGAGCATCGTGTCCACTGAGTCTGACAGCAGGACAGGCAACGCTTTGCTCTTCAACCAAGTGATCAATGTCACGGCAGGACAGAAAGTCAGGGAGATGCCAGCTGCCTGGAGCATTCGACGCAATCATGAGGACCTTTGGAAGACAGTGTGATGACAACAGGCTGGGTTTTAATGTGGAACAGTTCCGAGCGCCGTTGCAGTGGCTTCTATGCGCGCTCTGATGCAAGCAGCCCGGAGGCTTGCACACGATTCGGTGTTTGTTCTGTGTGGTTTGCCGCTGCCTCACCGTGTCACTTGTTTCTTGCCACAGTCTGCCTGAAATCTGCTTCATGGACGGTCACAGCAAAGGTGAAGAGCGCGTTGGGTGGAAGTACGAGGTGATTGTGCCAATTGAATAGAAAGTGCTGCGCATCTGCCCGTTGCGTGCGGGCAGAACCAAGTGTGTTTCGGGCTTATGCAGGGCTTAGAATGCCTTTAGGCCAGGCAAGTTTGATGTGAGCAGGTGGCATTCGAGGAGGATCAAAAGTACAAGGCGCAGCCGGCTCATGCCTGGCTCCATCGAGTTTAGTTCGTTGTAGAGTTGCGCGCAAACGTAGGACGGCATAGGAGTCTCATTTTTCTGCGTGGAGCCGCTAGAAGGAAGGTCGCTTCATCCTGGAAGAGGAGCTGCTTTCGTCCACAGTGCAGGTTTCGCTGCCCGAGAGGGTTGTAGGCTCAAGAGCGCTTCTTTCCGTGGATATGCATGTGTTGCTTCGCAGGGGACGAGCTGATCCTGCAGCAGATCAAAAGGTGCAGCAGACAGCTGCATTGGCATGATTGCGGTGAGCTTGCTACAAAATGGGCCCCGGCATCACGGCTTGTAGCATTCCCATGTTGTCGCACCAACTCTACTTTGTAGGTTTTCATTTGCATAGACCGGCTAGTCCGCCCGACGGAGGCGATGGACTTTGCTGTGAAGGTGCCACATTCTTGAAGACTTGAAGAGCCCGGCCATTTTGAATCCGATGCTTGCAGGAAGTGTTGTAACCATGTCATTGAGAGCAGATGCAGGCTAACTAGTTCTAGGACGTACTTAGCTTGACGTGGACTGCGAAGCAACTAAGTAGCTCACTGCCCATGGCAGACTACCGGAATGCTGCTCCCAATGGCTGTCAGCCAAAGTGTTGCTTGTGTACATAGCTTCGCCAGAAAGCAAGATGCGAGCTGCATGCAGAAGGCTAGAATCTACAGCTCTCCTTCAGAATTGGAGGACAGCAGGTGGGACACTCAATGCTACATATTGCGAGTGCATCTGACACGAGCAGCAAATCTGCGGACTGGCCTCTTGTTGAATTCGACCCTCATGCTGACGAAGGCCTGGTGTCTCCATTTTTTGTCAAAGATGAACCTCAGTCTTTCAGAGGCTTGTGTGCCGCGAAGTCGGGTGTTCTTTTTCTGGTTCCCAGGCTTTCCATGCACTTTGCCATTTTTCACTAGTGCGCACAGTGCTCGCATGTTTGTGTGAGCAATATTTTTATCTGCGTCCTGTCAACAGGCAGATGCAATAGGTGCACCGATGCTACTGCTAATGGCTGCAGCACGGTCCGAGCCAGAAGCTCGATGCCAGAGCACGCTGGTGCGTGAATCCCAGCACCTTCTCTGAAGAATGCGCACTTGGCATGCGTATGGTGTAGGATGCATGCCAACTGGCCCATTGGACTGCTGGTCGCTCTTTGCTGCGCTCCACATGTTCACTGTCAGCTCAGCTCAAGTTTCTGCCGCGGTCAGTCACAAACCCTAGCAAGCCCACAGCACATCCAAAACCGGTGCGAAGATCTTCGAAGAGCGATGCCATGCGGACCGCGCCTGCCGTCCATGCTTTTGCCTTCGCAGCGCGCGGCCCAGCCCCAGGAAAGCCCCCTAAACCCTATAAACCCTCAACCCTCAACCCTCAACCCTCAACCCTCAACCCTAAACCCTAAACCCTAAACCCTCAACCAAGGATTCTGCGCACCCCAACCTCTGCACTTTGGCCAGCTCCGTGGCCTCGGCGGGCGGGGTGCTAAACGTGGCCCGGGCCTGACTTCGACGTGAGAGCCCAGGAGAAACATGGAGAAACCAAAAGTGAAATACAGCCTCTTCCCAGTCATCCAGTAGCCCAGGTCGGCCTGGGCTATGACGTCTCGAACCCAGTGAACTCAGCCATAAATGCGGCGTTGTGAGGTGACCGGGGGGTGACGGGGAGCGTTTGGGCGCCCAGGAAACGCCGTTCGGGGCCGTGCCACGCGAGGTGCATGGGGGGAGTGGGGGGGCGGGGGGGGGAAGCTGTGGGCACTCTGAGTGCGATTCTCGGAGAGGCCCTGGACTCCATCGCAGAGGCCTTGGCCGAGCAGGGCAAGGCTGGGATCTCAGTGAAGAAAGAGAGAGATTCCCAAGCAGACGATAACCCCAGAACCCTTTGAGCGAGTTTTTAAAGGCAGGTGGCTTAAATGCTTTGGCTGCAAGATGTATAGGGGCAAGCTTCTTTGAAGTGCTCGGTGAGGCAAGACAAGTAGAGGGGCAGCGTATGGCAGCGACGCTGCATTGCATGACCAAAGAGGCCTCATGTCACCTTCTGTTGCAGCAGCTTTCTACGGCCAACCCAGGCAGGCAAACCTTGCAATGCTCTGTAGGATTGCAAGAAGACGAAGGGCCTTCAGAAGGCTCCCCGACTGAGTTGATTTTGAGTGTTGAGTCGGCCGTCAGCAGCGGTACTCAATTGCTCATGATTGCTTACTTGTCCTGAGCTGTTTCAGAGCTGCAAGAACCCAGGACTGCCCAGAAGTTATATTTTGTGATTTTGCGCCCCGCGCTGCGAGTTGACAGCGTGCGGTGACTGTTCAAAAGTGCCTCGGCCATGGTGTCAGTCATCATCACGGCTCTTTCTGGGAAAGTCGTGTACACCGGGAGTCTGCCTCGAGACATCCAAATCCAAGACCTGAAAAAGATCCTCGCTGCTCAGGCCGAGAAGGCAAAGTTATTCTCTGGGGGTGAGGAATTGGAAGACACTTCCACCTTAGCAGCTTTAACAGGCCATCTGGGGCCTATGGGGCCTACGAGCGATGCGGAGCCTGTGGAGCAGACGCTGGCGCTGACGCTGCTGAATTGTCGCTGCCCCGTGGCAGCCGACGTGGAGGGCTCCTGGTTCGGTCACCAGCACTGGGTGCAGCGCCTGCTTGAGGCGGATTGTGAAGTGCACCTTCTGAATGGCGTCTGCTGGTTCAATGCTTGGGGCGTGTTCAACGATATTGAAGGAGGGGAGTGGCGAATATTCCTCAAGCTGAAGCGGAAGCAGCGAATACGCTTCGACACGAACCTTTTGGTGAGCTTCAACGATGCAAAGGTGCAGACCTTCAGCCCAGAAGTACTTTCTTCTCTTCCAGCCGAGCAGTGGACGTTAATGGAACTGGGTCCCTTCCACGGCCCGGGCAGGCTCGCAGTGGATCTCCGGGGCGAAGACTGCCAGCAAAGAGGGCAAAACTCCAAGCAAGGTTTGTACATTGGCCAACTAATCGCCCAGCCATCTTAGGCAGCGGTTGTTCGCCATGCATGGTGCAGATGATGCATGGAGGAAGGGTAAGTTCTGCGGTGGACGTGCTTGCATGTACAGGCTGAGTGCTCTGCCCGGCACTTGCCAGTACGCGAGTGAAAAAAGCGCATGCTGGAGACGTATGCGCGCAATTTGCGGCATGCACCACTGTGGGACAAAGCTGCCCAACCCGGAAGGTGCGGAAATTCTTCGCCGCTGGAGACTTAGTTTGGACTAGTCGTTGTGACATCCTGCCAGATTTCTTTCAGCCGTGGTAGTGTGAAGGGCAACATCAAAGGATGCGCGGAATCCATCATGTAGTCGAAAGTGCATCAAGCATGCCTGAGCCCTCCGTTGACGCAACGTCGCAGTGCATTAGGCTCTGAACCCTCAGGTGTGGCCACATCTTGAACACTTCGGGGATGAGGACAGATGTCAGAATATGAAAACGCTACGTGGCCCGCCTCGGCCTGGGCCTGCCGCCAACAGCGGCGAAGCAAGGTCGGCAGGCTTCATGGTTTTTCAAATCGACAGGCAGAGTAGGGCAGAAAGGACAACCGGCGAGGTAGAGGCAGGGGACGCAGAAGGAGCATAGGGAAGGGTTGGGAGTGGAAGGAAGAAAGTTCGACAGAGTGGGGAAGAAAGAACATGGGGGCAGGAAAGTACCAGAGGAGGCAGGGGCCGAATTTGGTGTGCGTCCCGGCAATGGTTTGAGTCGCTGCACCATGTAGCGCCCGATGCCGATACGACTACGATGCCACGATGCCATGTCTTGGATTCAGGACCTGGTGCTGGTCATGGATGGCTACGACGTCGTGCGGGCATCTCAGCGATCTTAAGTGGTTTTAACATCGCGCAACTTCGAGGGCTGACTGCAGAAGGCTGGAGACTCCAAGCCTCGAGCACTTGAAGGATACTTTCGACCATGTGCAGCGCCGACTCGGGCGTGGTTCTCGTGCCGTGCAAAACCTCGCTTCAAGACTTCTCGCAGCACGACTTCGCAAGACGGGATTCCTAGGCCGCTGGTCAGCCTGCCGACTGGCCCCGTGATTTTCAGTGGGGAGGCCAACTGCCGGAGCCCTCTTCCATCGCTGCGGCACCTTTTGTGCAGCCTGTGCAGCCTTTGCAGCTCTGTCCAAGGCTGGCCCTTTGTTCATCATTGGACAGAACCCCCGTTTATGCAGGCTGCTTAGTGCGCAGACACTACTGCCATTCCTGCCCATGATGTTGGCGAGCACCCCGTAGGGCCATAGGACAGCAGTTGAACTTCTGAAAAGGTCACCTTCGGAAGTGTAAGTAGTCGACGACCGATAACCACATCTATGCGATGAACCTGTTTGATGCCTTTGCATCTGCAGACGAGCCGCCTTGCAAATTGTGGACACAGAGCACTTTTGGGAAGGACAGGGGACTATCGGCCTGAGTACGTGTATCACTACGGCGCGGGCCATGCGCTGCGAGGCGACGAGGCCACATGGGGTACTCTCGGTGTTTTCTGGCTCTTTGGACGAAGCTGAGCGCTTGTTTTCGCGTAGGTCTGCGAGCACTGGCGCAAGAATTTGGGCCATCCGGGAAAGACGCCCGGACACCACTTCGGTCGAAATCGGACTGAGGCCACAAGTTCACTTTGAACTCGAGCCACTGCAAGGGCATGATTAGGCTTTTGATTGGTGGAGGTGTTGCCGTTGTTCCTTCCCTTCCTCAACAGCGGCGTTTTCATAGGTCGCGCGCGGCACTTGGCTGATTGCAGGGCCAGCTGGGTATCGCTGGGATAGCTGGGTTGTTGCTATCTGTGTTCCAGTGCTTCTGCCTGTACCTCTGCAAAGCTTGCTAGGTGGCGAGTCTTCGTGGGCTGTTTGCCTTTGCCGCGGAGGTCCTGCGGCTCTTCGGAGACTTTGCGGACCAGGCCATGGACAAAACGTATCTCCACACATGGGCAGGTCCCAAAGTTATTTTTGAAACATACGGCTCCGCCTCAGAATAGGACCTCCCCCCCCCCCCCCCCCCCCACATCCCATCACAAAGCCTCAAATGCCGAAAGGGGTGCCCCATTCCAGGCCCTGGTGACCTCCGCAGCTCTCCATGCCAGCTTGTTGGAGCGACCCTGGGCGCGCCTTCCAAGACCCCCACGCGTTTGGGGAGATTTTTAGTTGGGGGATCATGGCCTTGACCCAGTCTTGTTGGAAATCGAAGTTTGTAAGTAGGACTCGTTATCGCAATGTCTTATCTATTTATCATGTTCTGTATTTCTCTCTCTTTCTCGCTCTCTCTCTCTCTCTCTCTCTCTCTCTCTCTCTCTCTCGGAGGAGGAGGAGGAGGAGGAAGAGTATTATCGTGATGATTGTCGCTAGCCATGTGATTGTCAACACCGTTCTCCGCATTGTCATTCTCATTCCTGTTAATTCTTGACAACGTGCCCTTCAAGGTACCTCTTCGCGTCGTCTGGCTGGCGATCTTCAGGGCAAAACCTTTGTGTGCCCAGACGTAGTCTCCCTAACTCTCAACCCTAGACCCTAAAAGAAAGAATCCTAAACCCTGAACCCTAAACCCTAAACCCTACTCGGACCAACGGACCTTGCCTGCCTTGTGCGAGAGTGAGCGACTAAACCCTAAACCCTACAGTAAATCCTAAACCCGAAGCCTTCAGCCGCTTCGGACTTGTAGCCTCCTTTTTTCGACGCCAGGACCACACCGGGGAGCTGTTGGCCTCCCTCCATGGAGTGCAACTTGAAGCGCTAGCAAGGCAGGGGGGGGGGGTGGGTTGGGTTATGTTGGGTTTAGGGTTTGTGGCTTAGGCTTAGGGTTTAGGGTTTGTTCTTGGCTACCCGAAGAGCCCATGCTGTAGATCAAACCCTTCATGTCAGCTACCGCGGTTTACGACTGCTGTTTCGTGCATCCGCTACCCGTTCCATTCTTGAGGCGGTTGAGGGCTCCGCCCGCCGTGCGCTCGAGACTGCTCGAGACGCCAAATGACCAGTTCTCTGAATCATGGTGCCCTTGGTTACCCCGTATGTAAATATCCAAAAATACAAATAAACAGATACATGTATGTATTTATACACATATAAACAAAAGCATAAATCTATAGATCTATCTATCTATATATGCAAGGATAGAAAGGACAAAGCATTGGTTTGGCGCTCAAAAAGGTCCTCTAGCTTGGAGAGCTGGTCGGATGCAAGTCTCTTGGTCATTTTAAATGTTGCAGCCCAGGTCTGCAGCTTCGAAGGCCGAATGGTTTCCCACCCAGCGAGCTTTTGTAGGTCTGGGGTGGCCAGATCATATCATCAAGACATGTTGTTGCGATTGAACTCTTAGCAGTCCTAAATAATTGCTGCAATTGTGTAGCTTCAAGGCTGGGCTGTGCTAAGGATCATGGTTTCTATGCAGCAGCGGCGGGACAACAGCAGCTCCGGCCTCATAGTCTGAAGTCCCATGAACGTCCTTCCTCCCACCCCACTCCCCCCACTCCCCTCACTTCCCGGCCGAAACCTCTCAAGAATCACAACAAAGAAACATCGCCACGGCCGCAGAAGAGGGGCTTATAACCCCGTTAACCCTAAACCCAAAACCCACAACCCTAAACCCTGAACCCTTTTGAAATTCCACCTAGTCGAACCCCGTATAGTGTACAGCCGAGGTCACATCTCCTAAACCCGAACCCCTTTAGTGTAGAGCCCAACCGAACTCCCTCAATAAGAGGGCAATTGTCTTACTTCGTTTGTGCACTCCACAGACCTTGAGCTCAGCTTTTAACGCCGAAACAAGTGCTACGCAGTTGCTGCTCTTCCTCGCTCCCTCAAAAACCCTAAGCCCTAAACCCTAAGCCCTAAACCCTAAAACCTAAAACCGAACCCCCAAACCCCGAGGCCTGGCCGCTCCAAGTGGAGTCCGGCTCGCTTGGAGGCCGATGCGATTTTCTCGTGCGCGCTTGGTGCCGCCTGACAGTCTAGAAGACTCCTGATCAGACTAGGAATTCGAAGAGAAAACAATACAATACGATGTGTTCTTGTGTTCTTCCAATATATATAAAACTATATGTATACATATATATATACATATATATGTATGTGGCTTCGTAAAAGATTGTGCCTTATGACGCTGTTACATTATATTACGTTATATGGTATTATATGACATGATATAGTAGTATTGTATTCTCAACTGTGTTCGCTTAGTTTTGGTACCCAAGATTTCGTCTGAAAGAAGAAGCCAATAACCCCCTGTTGACAAGGTTACCAGACTAATGCGAAGTTTCCTTTTGGGCTGGAGCAAAACTCCTCCGGCAGAACCTCCCAACCCTCAGTTACCCAGAGGCCAAGCTCCTCAGGGATGCACGACAGGCTTTGAAAATGAAAGAATGTACTGCAGACTGCCCATAACATAGTTCAGCCTAAACCCAAAGTGTATAATACCCTAGCTCTGCGCGTCTCCTTGCTGGCGCCCGCTTCAGCACATTGTAAGAAATGGGATGAGGACGCCGGGTCAACCGAGAAGCATTTTTTTGTTTGGTCTTTGGGGTTTCGGCAGCCCAGAAAGTATCTCCAGATCTTCAGATTTCTGCTTAGGCGGTTTCGCGCTTCGAATCCCAAATCTGGACTCACATGTTTAATCTTAAGCAGATCACATACTGCGTTTCACATCTTTACGCCATTTGGCCGCTTCTGCAGCGAGTGAGGCGGCGCGGCGTGAAGACCGACCGCCGCCACTTGTGGTCTTGCGCTTTAACCCCTGCACTCGGCATCATCTCACATTGTTGCCGCGAGCATCTTTCCCAGTCCGGTTGTAGTTTAAAGGTCCATTTCAACGGCGACAAGAAGCCGTACTTTGAAACCACTTGCCACGACTCTGTGAGCGCGGAGGCTTTCGCCATCTCATCATGTCGGCTTCCACGTCGCACAAAGACCTGGCCTGTGGTTTCACAGGCACAGCTTCTGGGATCTTTGCCGGGCCAGTGTTTGCAGCCCAGCGCTCCGGAGTCTATTACTGGATATTGCTAGGTAGTGCTGTAGTGTGGAGGGACAGAATAAAGTGAAAGCAAGCTGCGTCTTGCACCTCGTCATGTGCCAAGGTTCCCTCATGGATGCTGATCATCAGATGGAAGCCTTCATTACCGCGCTTTCTCCGACGGAGACTTGCATTGCTCCTTCGTGTCCACAGTAGCACGGTTGTCAGGTCATCATGCCTCACCTCTCATATTCTAGCATCATGTTCGCCTCCCTGGCCAGGAGACGCTTGTGCATATGCGTGAGGCCTTGACCTTAGCAAGGCCCCAACGGGCGAAGTCTTCGATACTCTATATATGTCCACATCTCGCCGCGGTACCATGTGACCATCTGAGTCAGGTCCCTGCGCCAGCGTGCTCCTGGCCTGTTGCCTGATTTGCCGGCCACTGTGTCCATTTCTGTGGTTGGCCTTGCTACAGGCGCGCGCCGACGCCACCGCACTTGGCGCGCTTGCTTGGCATCTCGGTCAGCTTGGGCTTGGACACGGCTTGGGAGGCCATTGGGATCATATTGTTGATCCATATGGTCCCAATTTTCCCTGGGATCCGTGGGATGTTCTCTCAGGTGGTTGGCCGGCTGCTGTCACTGGGACAAAGAATCCTGGCAGGCAGCCCAGCAGGGCCTCGCAGGACCACGGATAGAAAGGGATGGCTCCTGGGATGGTACATCCAGCATTTTGGAGAGAACATGCTGGGATGGCTGATGGTGTGGCACCTACTGTGGATCCACCGTAGTGTAGATGCTAAGGTGCCCAATGTGGTGGGATGATTTGGGGTTGATCAATGTCGGCCTTGAAGCAAACAATGGGGTGCGATGCTTGATGGACAACACGGTCATTTTGACATGCCCGAACTCCAGCTAAGACGTTAAGATTAACAACGCCCGAGGGATCATGATGGTCAGTGGCCAGTGTTCTATGCCGATCTCTGGGGGATGTGCTATCAACTGCAGTTGATTTTTGGGGTCAAGGATGTGTCAAGGTAGTACCATGTCGTTGTTATATGTTGTGATGTCAAGCACCATTGCCAGAATGTTGATTATAGAAATTACTAGAAGGGATCGAGACCTCATGTCGAAGACCACGAACCCGGGTTAGATGCTGGTCCGCATTCCTCGGGAAAAATGCCGCCCAGCGTCTTGATGCAGCTCGAGTTCTGAGATGTCGCGGTGCCTCGGATCCCGAACGCCTCTGGAGCAGTATGCCAGCTCACTTGTCGCTGCAGATGGCGATGCTCATGAGACAGCGCCCGGGTTCGCAATATGAAGCCTACTGGCTTCCATAAAGCATCTTCCCAGTCCTTTCTTCCAGGCTGCATTCGAGAACAGCGAAGGTAGAGATTGCGCGTTCCGCTGTGACGCTTTTTTACATCCCTCTACAACTTTTAGGTCTGGGGTCCGAAAGCATTCTTAAGTACGTGGCACATGGCCTTGGGCATTTATCGGAATCATCTCGGGGTTCAGGTTGCTCCAATGCTCTTCCCGATGTACACGGTCCCTGCAGAACGGCTTCTGGAGATGTCGAAGATCGAGCCCCACGAGAAGTTGAAGGCTGGGGGTGGAAACCCTTATGCAACACGCGTTGTCCTTCGCGCCTGCCGCACCAAATGTCGTTGCCTAGTCCAGGGAAAGTTTGAAGTCGCTGTGCCTGGTTACTTTTCGCTGAAGGGTGTAACTTTCAAATTCTTGAGGATGCTGCGCGGGCAAACCCTCCGCTATATCTCACGCTAGGCAGCAAACAAGTGAAGTCTTTTGGGCAGGGCGGTGCTTGAGCGTCGTTGGTTTCGGTGTAGCTGCGCGCGCGGCTGCAACTCTCCGATGTTTGCATTCAAGTGTGTCGGATTGTTGTTCTCATGGCATCGTCATCATCGTCATCATCGTCATCATCGTCATCATCGTCATCACCGTCATCACCGTCATCATCGACATCACCGTCATCATCGTCATCATCGTCATCATCGTCATCATCATCATCATCGTCATCATCATCATCGTCGTCGTCATCATCGTCATCATCATCATCGTCGTCGTCATCATCGTCATCATCATCATCATCAGTTTGCATCAGTATTCAGTGGTCATGATAAGATGGCTGCTTCATCCGAGTTTCGGACCTGCTCGTCAGGCTCAGGGCGTGCTGTCTATCTTCGATGACAGCCTGGGAAACGCAGCCTTCGTTTCTCACCAGTGGGTTGACACGAAGCACCCGGACCCTCATTTCAAGCAAATGCAGGTCTTGCAGGATGCCTTGCGGCGAATCCTGACGACCAAGGGGCGCATTTCGCTGGATATTGTCACAGAGGCTATGGTTCACTCGGTAAGAAGTATGTCCTTCCAAGAGTTGCAGGCCCGGCCTCTGTTTTTGTGGTATGATTATTTCTCCATCCCGCAGCTGCAAACCGCTGAAACCCCCTTGGACGTCCTTGGCAATTTGCAGGAAGGGGCAATCAGCAGCATCGCGGCCTATGTCGGCAAATGCCGCTATTTTTTTGCCCTTTGCCCGGTGCTGGAGTCTCCCTTTCGAGAAACAGTGCTATCAAATACAAGCTGGGCGAAGAGGGGGTGGTGCCGTCTAGAACGTGCAGCGCGTGAGCTCTCTGAGCATCACACATGGATTCTCGTGCAAAGCTCGACCTCGATTGAGCTTGTCGGCACGGCGTATTCATTTGTGAACGGTTCTGTGGGTGAGGGCGAGTTCGGTGTGGAAGGTGACAAGGCCAAACTGGCACCTGTCATGAAAACCATCGTCAAACAGAAGCTGAGGATGTCTCTCCAAGCCGGCGATTTGCCAAGCTACCGCCGTCACCTGAATCTCCAGTCCGTGCATCTCCGAGGTCTGGATGTGGAGCCCTTGACCGGGATTCCCAACCCTGAGCCTGACCTGTGCGGCGCTGACGATGTGTCCCTGTTTTTCTATCAGAACGGGCTCACCAGTGTGACGCGTAGAGATGCTGCAGGGTGGTTGCCTTTGCACTACGCGGCTCTGTCAGGGAATGTGCCGCTGATTGAGGGCTTGCTCCTGCGGCGTGCTGATCCGAATAGTCGAACCTCAAGGGATGAACCCACGCAGGGCTTCGATAGGATGACGGCCGTAGACTTGGCGCTTTTCTACCGGCACAATGATGCAGCGCAACGGCTGATCACCGCCCGCGCCCACGTGAGTGGGGGCAGTGCGCTGTCAATTATGTTCTGTGCTGGAACCGACAATGTGGAAGGCACCCGCCTCCTCTACAAGCATGGCTCTAACCTTGACGCAAAAATGGCATTTGGCCACAGTGCCTTGGAAATTGCGTCGGCCTTTGGGTCCTTGGTGGTCGTGGAGGAGTTCGCGAGACAGGCTCCGCTCAGTCCCTCCCTCTCTCTTGCACTTCGCGCTTGCATGATGCACCGAGGCGGCTCAGCAGAGATGGTGGACCTACTGATCGGCCTGCGAGCTGACGTAAACTTCCAGTGCGACGTCCGTCGGGATCTGTCCCTCCCCGGCCGGATAGTGTATGAGGCCAAATCACTGCAGCACAGATTCAGCCAGGCCACAGCGTTCAGCGCGATCTGCTACCACATGCACGGCGCCACGCCGTTGATGTTCGCGCTGCAAACGGGGCAGTATGAGGGAGCTGCCGCCCTGATCACGGCAGGGGCCCGGCTGGATCTCAAAAACTGCCGGGGCTGGACGGCTGCCGACTTTGCTAGAGGGCAGTCGCTCCCGGACTTTCTGCAGCAAGCTCTCGACGGGGACCTTTCCGGGTGCAAGACAGTTTCCTCCCTGGCGCTTCCTGACGGCTGGGTTGAGGTAGCATTTTAAGGTCCTGACAATTCCTGTCACAGGTCTCGTCGTATGCGTTCAACTCTATTTTTTCAAGCACTTCTGCAATGCGGTGCTGCTGATGCCCGAAGATGCGTGTGGACACGGATGCTGAGTAATCTTGAGCAGATGTGCATGTTGAGTGCTTATTCTTGGCATTTGAGGTGAAGCAGCATTTCTGAATCCAGAAGAACCGTGCTGTGAAAAGTTCTGGGTTCTAGATGCTGAAATGCAAAGCATTTCCATTACCCTCAACTTGAAAGTTTTTCATTTCGAGCTGTGCTGACTCTGGAAGTTGCGAGTCTCGAAATCCACGAGCCACGGAAGTGTTGAGTTCGGAACTGAAAGCATTGCCATCGGATTCAAATCGTCCTCAGTGCTTTCTCTCAGAGTTTCACCGTCAGTAAGGGTCAGTAAAGAGCAGTTTGCTGACTCCAGGGCTGCAAGTTGCTCAGTAGTTGCGCAACTGTGCAGCTTCCATGAGAGGATGCTGAGGTTGCAACGCATAGAATAGATGTGTCACTCCTCTCCGGTGGTGGTGCATTTGGAACACTTCTTCTTTTAAGTTTCAGTTGTTAAACGCAGCGCGGCTGACTTCAGATGTCTGGCTTCGGATTTTTGGGCACAAGGATGGTCATGGTCGCAATGTCAAACCATCTCTTGGGTCGTGCTGCTTTCAATGGGCATACGATCGGATTGCCAGTTGGTAGTCAAGGATGTTCATGCAGTTGAAAAATGTTCAATGCACATGCAGCTGAATAATTTGGTGATGTTTGGTAACCCAGACGACAAGCGGTTAGTGCGGGAAAAGGGTTCGCGCATACATGTTTTGGAATCAAGCTTGATGACAGAAGCAAGTGTTGTGCTAATCTTAAGAACAAGTACCGAAAGTAATGTCACGTGCTGGGGTCGGATTCTGACGGGCTGCCGCAGGGTGCCGGGGTGGGTTCGGTCGAGCGCGGCATCGTTTTGCCTGGTCTGTTCACCTAAAGGGTCAAATGTAATGCATGCCGCCAGTGCGAACAAAACACACGGCATTTTGGGGTTGTAAAGGGGCCCCTTTTGAGCTGGAAAGTTTTGTTTTTTGCGGAGGATTGGGTGAGGTTGTGAGCTTGTGTGTTACGGTGCCCACGGGCAATAGCGCCAGCGAAGCGGGCCATAATGCAGGCAGTACAAGTTGGACGGCCAAATCCGACTGAAACAGAAGAACCAAAAGGATAACAATGCACAACTCGAGCCCATATCACGAATTCTCCAACACGAATGAATGTCCTATACAAGTCAAGGTGGAATGGCAGGTTTGTTTTCTCAGCCGATATTGTATCTTTGCCGGAAGCTTCTCGGCTTGGGGCTAACACAGAAATGAGGGCTCAGATGGGGTCCAAAATGAGGTGCACCGGCCGGGTCCTGCGAGAGCATTGCCCGCGGGTGCCCCCGCCTCGAGCTCCTGGCGCTTGGGAGCAAGGCCTCCTTGAATCCGTTCCTCCCCCGCCCCCTCCCCATCCCCCCTCTTAAGACCCCTCTTCCCTGAGTGTCGATCGCGATTGCATTGCTTTGACAGGCAGTGCCTTGGAGAAGATGATCTTTGGCGGTGACGGCCCTTTTTGCTACTCCGACGCTCGTGACAGCAAGCGATGTGATGTCTGGCGAAGGTTTGACGCCCGAAGCCCACACGACGGCAACTTTGCGTCACAAGCTCGGTGAGTTGCAGGCTGCTCCGCAAAGCAGCGGTTAGCAGCAAGTTCCGAGGAAAACTCCGGATCGCTTTGTGCGGGCGGAGGAGGCCTTGTGGCTTGACAGTATGGAAAGGGTGCACCAGATCAGGATTTTTTCTTGAATGCAAGTGCTGCGCTGCTGCATGTGTTCACGTCCTTGCGAATGCATGCTCTGTGGTCCATGCTGTCTTCTGTCACTCCGACACCCTAACAAAGCTGATGAAACTTTGCCGCTCGTTGTTTTTTATTTTCCAATCCCTTTGCGGTAGCCAAGATTCCGAGGGGTGGCATGAAGTAGTTCGCCCCCCCCACGCGTGTTTTTTCAGTTGTTTTACTTCACATGAATGGGTTTTGGTGGTATGTTTTCATGTCTTCGCGATAAGGCGGCAAGCAAGTAGAGCCACTGATGCCCTATTGTGGCGCTCGGAAAACGGTAGCTTTGCGCTGGGTAAAATGGACAGATTGTATATTCCCATGTTATCACCCAGCAGTGTGTTTTAAGGTGTATCACACCCAATAAATCAGTTTGTCACTTGTTCTGGTGTTGATGCGCTGAAGTTCTGTCGCTCCAAGTGCGCACTCTTGAAGTTCTGGGTGAGCCCTTGGGGTGCCTTGAAAAACGATCAGACCGTGCAAAAATGCAGGGCCGTAATTACGCGCAAGCGCCGCGCTAGCTTGGTGCTAGCAAACTCTCGACGCAACCTACCCAGGAAGACCTTGGCCTACGTGCCACACGGAATTACAACTGTCGGAGTTACAATCATTGAATGGAACATCTTTCAGAGTGACATGATGTGGCCAATGGAGCGGAAACATGAATGTGATCAAGGCTAAGCCACTGCAGGCTGTACTCCTCTCATTGGAAATGGTTGCCATTGCGGCGGGGAACTGGACAATTGGAAGCGAAACATGTGTGGTCGACAAAATGCCAGATGATCCCAATGCAGCCAGAAGCCGCTTGACGAAACGGCTACTTACCACAAGCAGTTGGGCCGGGCTCGAGCCCGCAAGTGGCGACAGCGGAGAAATCTTCGCTCGCACCGAAACTCCAGCAGTAGCAGTGTTAGCAATTAGCAGCTCCTCCGACGACTCGTTCGACAGCAGCAGCTGAAAATTGGTCCGCGCTGGCATCCTTTCTAGGAAATGACGGCAGAATCCCTGAAATGCAGCGTTTGCCACTTCATCTCAATCAGCATTTTTCCTTTGGGACACTGCCGCATCAACGTAAATTTCGGGAACAAGCATGTTGACAACAACCCACATGCGAAGCACTGGGCATGATGACATGACAGGGTTGTGTGAGCATGGCAAGGTTGGTCGCCAACCGCTTGGTGCTGTCCTGCTAGAGAGCGCCCGCACTCTGTGCACGTCTGGCGTTCAGACGCTGTGAGGTAGCTGTGCTGCAGCAGGTGTTAGGTTGCGGTGTCCGCGCCTAGGACGGAGTCGGCCGAGCAGGATTACTGCACCACGCCCGAACCCCAAGAGAGGTTGATATTGAGGATATTGAGCGGGGTCATGGATCGACAAAGGCTCCTGCGATTGAGGGCAAGCTGGTCCTGCCTCGCGTTGCACCCTCAACCACTAGCCCACATGTTTAGAAGGCCAGGGTCTGCAAGTCGTGCAAGAAGGCTGCAAGTCTCAGGCCTTTTGGCGACAACTCGGCGGGGCTATTGCTCGCAATGTTCGGCGCGGCCGACTTTCAGGTCGCTTTTCGATTGCTGACATGTCCGTTGCAAAGTACCCGAAGTACGTTCCCGAAGTACGTTCCCTAAGGCCCTAAGTAGTGCAGCTGCAGGCATCGTTTGCAGATGAGGTCGAGGCGAGGGTTCTCTGCAAAGAGCACTGCTTCTATTCCCACTTTTGGTCCATGCATCGATGGAGTGTAGCATGCTGACTGCATCTGCGTTCAAAGCCCAAAGCTCCAGCAGGACTCCAACGCGTCGCACGCCACGAGCACCAGCCGTGCGGCGGCAGTGAGGTCATCCGAAACCCCCGAAACATATCAATCAGCCTTCTGAAGAAAATGAATGGGGCATCGCCCCGGCGCCACCTTGCCCAAAAGAAGCAGCGGGTCTTATTGTAGCTATGGGTCTCCGATTCGCTTGGGGAGACCAAAACATCACAACGTGCTTCCGGAATGTTGTGGGGGGCGCGGTCGTTTCCTGAATCCAAAGGAGGCTGGCTGGTTGGCCGCGACGAGGCCCCCTTGAGGTACCGATGGGCTCCCAGAACGCAGAGACTTTATGCGCATTCCCTTGGCAGGGTCTGGCGGACAAGATTTGCTGTCTGATGCGTGTGTGTGCTTGGCATTGCCACAGTCTTCTCGTTGAAGAGTGCTCAGCAGGGCTGCGGAATCTCGCAGCATCCTTTGCAGCCGCTCGCCGTCTGGCCCTCACGCAGTGTCATGCAGACCTCAGCTTGCTCCAATCAGAAATGATCACATCGGTCAATGGTTGCGACCCCAACATAAAAGATTACAAGAAAGGTACGAAGGCAAGTATCCCTGAGAGAGAAGACATGCGCTGCAGGAGGTCTAGTGCAAGCACACGCGTCGGTCGCTGTGTTGCTCAGTAGGGACCCATACGGACATGCGGTGCTGAACGCTGTGCCTTAAGGGCAACGGGGTGGGAAAGGGGCCAATATCAACAGTGCAGCCACAAAGTTTCCACAAACCCAGCCACAAAGACGCCGCAAAGAAGCTTGAAGGAGCCAGCTACCTCAGAGAAGGGTCGGGGAGAAGTTCGGCAGCGCGCGCGTCCCCAATTGAAATCCTTGCCGCAGCCATGGCCATACTTCGGGTGGTCAATATGGCGGGCGAGCTCATTATGGAAGTCCTTTTGCGCGAAGAGAATGATTTCGGTGGTCCAGACCTGGCTGGCTACATAGGGAAGCAAGTGCAAGAGAGAACTGGCTTCCCGTGCTTCCGGCTGGCACTGCTTAGTGTCAAAGGCAAGTCTTGGCATCAGCTGGGCTCGCCAAGTGAAGTTCAGGCAGTGTTCAACCAAGCAGTGAACGACTTCTCTGCAGACTTATTGACGCTAAGCTGCGAGTAGGGTATGCGGTGTCCTGGTTTGAGAGGCGAGGGCGTGCTTCTTGAAGGAATCCTTGAGATGCCGGCAAGAACACCCTGCAAGGCTCAGCATAGCCGTTTTGGGGAGTGCTCTCCCAGTTCAAATACACATAAATACCCCATGAGAGAAGTTGTGTGTTCAGTTTGCAGAGTACGCTTTTAAGATCGGGCCATTGCCTGGCAGCTCAGGACAGCGATTCGGGCACGAGACTTTGATGCTGTCAGACAGATCCTGGACAAGCATCAGGATCCCGGCTGTTGCGATCCAGATGGCTGCGCTGCTCGCGTCGCTTGCATTGCTGGAGCCGGTGACATTCTGGAGATCCTGCTTCAGGCAGGGAGGGAATGCGGCCATGAGCCAGAAATGCCTGGCCGAGAGGTTTGGGGAGGTTTCTAGAGGCGTCCATGGTTGCAAATTGTTCGTTGTGCCTAGGGCCTACTCGAGTCTCACATAGTCCCGCAGCAGTCGAGGCCGGGGCGGACAGAGATGTGTCGAATGCACAGGGAGAATGCCTCCTACACACGGCCGCCGCACATGGCAGCATTGAGTGTGTTCGACTCTTGCTCAACCTTGGCCTTGACATCGAGTCTTCAGAGGAAAGTGGCTTCACACCTTTGCATGTCGCAGCGCAGAGTGGCCAGCTCCACGTGTTTCGCCTCCTCCTAGAGGCCGGCGCAAACAGAGGTGCTCTGGACCAAACCGGAGCAAGCGTTTTACACACCGCTGCAGAGCACGGGCAGGTCGAAATCATGAACTACCTTTTGGATCTAGGTATGAATATAGAGGTGACAGAAGAGGCAGGGGCAACACCCTTGTACGTCGCAGCCGAGAGCGGCAAGCTCGAGGCAGTTCGCTTCCTGATCCAAGCAGGAGCCTACATCGACACAGAAGACGAATCAGGGGCGACACCCATATATACAGCGTCTCAGCACGGCCATGCTGATGTGGTTGATTGCCTTGTCAAGGCAGGCGCAGACAAAGAGAAATGCAAAAGGTATGGCGGAAGCCCATTATCCATTGCAACCTGGCGTGGCCACATAGATGTGCTGGACGCCCTCGATGAGGATTTGGACTGTTTTAAAGCGCACAACTCCGGCTTCCTGCAGGAGCTACAGGCTCTATTGGATGAGTGTGGCGGTGGTAGTTTGTTCAACAGGTAGTAGATCTCACCATGAAATTCAATAGACATCCATGAATCCCTTGGTCGTCGGAACTCTTGCTCCGCTTCTAGGACCGGGCAGTCAAGCTTCCCGTGGACTGTTAAAAAGGAGGGCATGTGCACGTAGCCTGTAGCTTGTTCACTTCAGATATGTGAGTTGCTCGGAGCATGTAGAGTCCCTCACAGAACGGACGGAGGCCGGAAGCAACCGCAGCTTGCGCTGGACAAGCGGCTGCTCTCTCAGTTGCTGGGTCTGAGAGGTTCTTTCAAACAAAGCCACTGGCCTGTCCCTTTTTCCATGTGACACTCCCGAAGCTTCAGCCGAGGTGGCGGACTTTGCGATGTTGATGCCACCCTGGGAAGTGTCCGGCTGAGTTCAAGGGAACCGCATGGAACGATGGGTGTGTCATGTCTTGCTCAGTAGAGTTGCGGCATTGAGAAGCATGTTAGCCAAAGTGCATTGCTCCAATACCTCGCTCAGGCATCTCGATTCAAGTGGATGCATTTTGATGGTATTGGCCTGTTGGTCTTAGTCAAAGACGTGGATGCAGAACAAGCCCCGATACAACAGATAGGCAGAAAAGGATTACATTCCCTTGATCTGCGGAAATGATAGATACAATAGAGAATATAAATTTGAAATACATTTTCAATTGTCCCTACCATTTTCTCTCCATACGTCGACCTGAATATCGTAATTTCTTGGAACTCTCATGAAATCACATTCTGGATCATTTTCCTGAGGAGATTCATTAAATTTAATGGCTACCGCCAGTGCCGCCGACCCCACCCCCCGCCATTTTAGGGTGCCTCAGGGCTTAGGGAGTTTCTTGGGTGGCTTCGGCTTGGGCAGCTTGGGGTAGTTGGAGGATTTGGGCGCCCTTTGCAGGGATGGCGCTATGAGGGTTTAGGGTTTAGGGCTAGTTCGCAGCCTTTTGGGAGAGGGGGGGGCCTTCACACTGGTGGCGGGCGGTGCGGATGGCGGCTCGTCAGCGTGGGTGGCTCAGGGGGCGGGTGGCTTGGGGCGGTCTTGGTGGTTCGGGTCATGTGGGTGGTTGGGGTGATGTGGGGTTCGGGTGGTGTGGGTGTTTGGCGGCATGGCTTCGTTCATGTACAGACTGTACAGCCTCAGAGTGTCCTACTGTGCATACCTAGGCTGGGCACTCTGATAGGATTCCTGACCCTTGAGGCGGCTGCGGGCAAGTGAGCGAGGAAAGAAAAATACAAATTTGTTAAGTTTACCTGTAACTCCGTATCAGTTTTGTGGGGCCCCTGCAGGGTCCCAGGAAGGGACCAAGCAGGGCAGCCCCCCCAACTAGAAAAACCTAGATGAATTTAGAATCTGTCCCCATGTGCTTGCATAAAGGCCCACGGGAGGGGGACCCAAGGACCCCCCGGGGCAACCGGCACCCCGAGAACCAACGCGGATCCTGCAAAAACAGGGCGACCGACCCAAGGACCGGCGGAGGGTGGGAGAAGCGGGCGACCGACCCAAAGACCGGCGGAGGAGGAAGTTTTAAAACTTGCGTTTTGCGTTGTTCTATACGTCCTGTTGAGTCGGGCCTTTTTTGCTTTGTTCTAAGCGTCAAAGTGGGCAGATTCCAAATTCCACCGAATCCCGGTGCCCTATGCTCCCTTAGAAGGGCCCCCATGGCTCAAATCCTTCGGCTAATCCAGGGCATTTAGCCTTGCGAGCAGCACAACGGCAAAGTTTGGATTGCGAGCCAGGGGTCGGTCAGAAGAGCGTTTGGAAGCGAGGCTTCAAACGGCGCGCGAGGTTCACGAAGCGGGTTGGTTGGGGTCACACGCCCGACATGACGAACACCTCAAAAACATAGGCAAACGATGGAGCAAAGACAACAGAAACGAAGAAGCACGCAAAGAACAATGAAATCAGAAATACAAGCAAAATAGGTCACGGAGTTTCTCTCCTACTCAGGCAGAACAAATTAAAAGGAGAACAGCTCAAAAACATAGGCAAATGCTATGCCAAAAAACACGAACAAGCATGCAAACAGCAATGCAAACGGAAATAAAAGCAACGTAGGTGACGGAGTTCTTTCTCCCACCCAGGCATAGGACAAAAGAAGAACACCTCAAAAACACAGGCAAATGCTTGATCAAAACCCAGAGAAACGACAAAGGACGCAAAGAATGAAAACGGAAATAAATCCAAGGTAGCGGACGGAGTTTTACCTCCTGCCCAGGCATAGGAGAAAAGAGGAACGCCTCAAAAAGAGAGGCAAATGCTGGATCAAAAGCAACACAAACGCAGAAGGAGGCAAAGAGCAATGAAATCAGAAATACAAGCAAAATAGGTCACGGAGTTTCTCTCCTACTCAGGCAGAACAAATGACAAGGAGAACAGCTCAAAAACACAGGCAAATGCTATGCCAAAAATCACGAACAAGCATGCAAACAGCAATGCAAACGGAAATACAAGCAATGTAGGTGACGGAGTTCTATCTCCCGCCCAGGCATAGGACAAAAGAAGAACACCTCAAAAACACAGGCAAATGCTTGATCAAAACCCAGAGAAACGACAAAGGACGCAAAGAACAATGAAAACGGAAATAAAACCAAGGTAGCGGACGGAGTTTTACCTCCTGCCCATAGGAGAAAAGAGGAATACCTCAAAAAGAGAGGCAAAGGCTGGATCAAAAGCAACACAAACGCAGAAGGAGGCAAAGAGCAATGAAATCAGAAATGCAAGCAAAATAGGTCACGGAGTTTCTCTCCTACTCAGGCAGAACAAATGACAAGGAGAACAGCTCAAAAACACAGGCAAATGCTATGCCAAAAATCACGAACAAGCATGCAAACAGCAATGCAAACGGAAATAAAAGCAATGTAGATGACGGAGTTCTATCTCCCGCCCAGGCATAGGACAAAAGAAGAACACCTCAAAAACACAGGCAAACGCTTGATCAAAACCCAGAGAAACGACAAAGGACGCAAAGAATGAAAACGGAAATAAAACCAAGGTAGCGGACGGAGTTTTACCTCCTGCCCAGGCATAGGAGAAAAGAGGAACACCTCAAAAAGAGAGGCAAATGCTGGATCAAAAGCAACACAAACGCAGAAGGAGGCAAAGAGCAATGAAATCAGAAAGAAATACAAGCAAAATAGGTCACGGAGTTTCTCTCCTACTCAGGCAGAACAAATTAAAAGGAGAACAGCCCAAAAACATAGGCAAATGCTATGCCAAAAAACACGAACAAGCATGCAAACAGCAATGCAAACGGAAAGAAAAGCAATGTAGGTGACGGAGTTCTATCTCCCACCCAGGCATAGGACAAAAGAAGAACACCTCAAAAACACGGGCAAATGCTTGATCAAAACCCAGAGAAACAACAAAGGACGCAAAGAACAATGAAAACGGACATAAAACCAAAGTAGCGGACGGAGGTTTACCTCCTGCCCAGGCATATGTCCTGCCCAGGCATAGGAGAAAAGAGGAACACCTCAAAAAGAGAGGCAAATGCTGGAACAAATGTCAACACAAACGCAGAAGCAGGCAAAGAACAATGAAATCAGAAATACCAGCAAAATAGGTCATGGAGTTTCTCTCCTACCCAGGCATAACAAAAGGAGAACAGCCCAAAAACATAGGCAAATGCTCTGCCAAGAAACACGAACAAGCTTGCAAACAGCAATGCAAACGGAAATAAAAGCAACAAGGCGACGGACCTCTATCTCCACCCAGGCACAGGACAAAAGAAGAACACCTCAAAAACACAGGCAAATGCTTGATCAAAACCCAGAGAAACGACAAAGGACGCAAAGAACAATGAAAACGGAAATAAAACCAAGGTAGCGGACGAAGTTTTACCTTCTGCCCAGGCATAGGAGAAAAGAGGAACACCTCAAAAAGAGAGG